ATCTAAGATTCTTGATCGCCTAGTAGGAGTAAAACTCTTTATAAAGCTAGATCTACGAGATGCTTACCATAGGATCCTCATTAAGGTAGAGAACCAGTGGAAAACAGTATTCCGCACTAGATATGGGTAGTTCGAGTACTTAGTGATGCCTTTTAGGCTGACGAATGCCCTAGCTATCTTCTAGATATACGTGGACGAGTCCCTAAAGGGCTTACTAGACGTTTTCTATATTGTATACATGAACGATATCCTAATCTTTAGCAGAATAGAGAAGGAATACGAGGATTATATTAAATAAGTACTCGAAAGACTCTGGAAATCACGGCTTTTCATTAAACTTAGTAAATGCGAGTTCTATGTAAGAGAAGTGGTATTCCTAGGCTTCATCGTTAATGAGGAAGGAGTTTTAATAAATCCTTAGAGAGTGGTAGCCATCCGAGAATGGCCTACCCTCTAGATATTTAGGGATATCTAGATATTCCTAGGATTTACTAATTTCTATAGGGGCTTCATCCGTGATTTCTTAAGAGTAGTAGCGTTAATTATAGATCTACTAAAGAGAATAAAGTATAGCGTAAAGAAGAGCCCTTTAGAATGAACTCTAAAAGTAGATGAGGCTTTTTAAGAGCTTAAGAAGCGCTTTAAAAGAGCCTCTCTACTTCATTATTACGATCTAGATCTAGAGGTAAGAGTGGAGATCGATGTCTCTAGTAGTGAACTAGAAGATATATTATTCTAGAAGGTTACTATTCTCTTATCTAAAACGGATAAGGAACCTTTATTCGTTTAGAAATCTATAGCCTTCTACTCCCGTAAATATAAATCTAAGGAAATTCGGTACTCTACGGGTGACTAGGAAATGCTAGCGATTATATACGCATTTAAGAAATAAAGATATTACCTGGAAGCCCCCTCTAAGATAGTGACTATGGTCACTGACTATGAAGCGCTAACCCACTTTATGGATATAAAGGTGTTGGCTCGAAAGAGATAAATACGCTGGGTAGAAGACCTAGCAGCATTTAATTTTCGTATTGAATGGAGAGTAGGTAAGAAAAACCCCGCTGATGGCTTATCTAGAAGGCCTAATTATGAGCGAGCAATTTTAAGTGCTAATAAATAGGGCAATATGCTGTATGAACTTATAGCCCTACGCTTAGAGTCTCCACCCGAATCGGGTGGAGACGGTGAAGTATCGATATCGATTAGCGCTGTTCGAATTACGGTATTAACAAGAGCGTAGTCGTTACGAAAACCGCATCTAAGGGATAGTGAATGGAACACTATTTTTAGCCTAATACCTTCTACTAACGAAGTAGAGCTAGAGTAGAAGAGCGATGGGTTAAATGAACTCATCGAGGACGGTCGCCTAGTAAATGTAAGCTAGGCGACCCCTGAAAGAGAAAGAGCGCCGACTTTCTCACCCGAATTGGGTGGAAGAGTAAATCTGGAAGCTTAGATTCGGAAGGCGCAGAGTCTTAATCGGTTCGTGGACGCACGAATATAAATAATCTCCGTAGATGGAGGGCATTGAACACTAGATTAAGCGGGAATAGTCCGACGAAATGGACTTATTTATATTCTCAATGATTCAACGATTAAGGCTGAGATCCTAAGGGTTAATCATGATGATCCTTAGGACGGGGGTCACTTTGGGCGAGCTAGAACGCTCGAAGTTATTTAGCGTTATTACTGGTGGCCTAGAGTAAAGAGGGACGTTTACGAGTATATGAATACTTATGATGTGTGCTAAAGGATGAAGGTTCTAAGGTATAAGCCTTATAGAGAGCTAATTTCTTTAGCTCCGTCGATGGAGCCCTAGTAAGATATTATCATAGACTTCATCGTAGGGCTACTACCGTCTAAGTATCGAAATAGCGTCTACGACGCGGTGCTAGTGGTAGTAGATAGGCACTTAAAAATAGTACGTCTTATTCTATGTGAGTAAGATATAACGGCCTAGGAATTAGGGACGATCTTAATTAATGAAGTCTTCTCGAGATATAGAATGTCTAAAATAATTGTAAGTGATAGAGACTCTCTATTTACGTCGAAGTATTGGGAGACGATGTGCTATTATCTTACGGTTAAGAGAAAGCTATTAATCGCTTTTTATCTATAGATAGACGGATAAATAGAGCGGCTAAATTAAGTGCTTAAATGCTACTTAAGATGCTATCTAAATAACGAATAAAGTAACTGGGTTAAACTACTCAGCAGTGTAGAATAGGCTATCAATAATAGCCGGAATAATACGATTAATGCTATACCGTTCTAGGTAGTGTATAACTATAAACTCAGTATAAAAAGAAATCTTAAAGGTCCTTATTCACCCGAATTAGATGGAAAGGAATCGCTCTTAATTTATGAGAGAGTAAGACAAAATGCTGAGGAGGTTTTAGCTATACGAGCTCACTTACGAGAATCCTAGTAAAGGACGTAAGAAAAGATTAAGAGCTACTATGATTAGCACCGTAAGAATATAGAATTTATAGCGGGCGATCTAATTATACTCTCAACGAAAAATATTAAGTTACGTAAAGCTAGTAAGAAACTCTTTAATAAGTATATAAGGCCTTTCTACGTTAAACAACGAATAGATAAAAATATCTATTAACTTACTCTATCTAAGCGTTATGAACGAATTCATTTAATATTTTACGTTTCACTTCTTTAGATTTATTATTAACGCTAAGGAACTCTTCCTTCTTCACCTATTAATGTAGATAAAGAGGAAGAGTTCGATGTAGAATAGATTCTAGACGCTTAAGGAAAGGGAGTAAGACGACGTTAGTTAGTTAAATGGCTAGGGTGGGGCCATGAACATAATATATAGGAATCTAGGAAACACTTCATCGGTGCCCTTATATAAAAAATAATTAGAGAGTTTAACGAAAAGTACGGCGTGCGTACTTAATAAGAAATATCTCTTACCTAAATCGAGTGGGGGTATACTTAGTTTCACCATAAAGAGCTACTTATAATCTACGTCACGTAAAGGCGATACCCTTATAGGTCGTTTTGAGAGTCCCGATCTACCCCTAAGGATAAGTATTACCCTGCTATCCATATATATTCTATATTTTAGGGAGGTCCCGACCTACCTTCTAAGAATAATGTTGCCCTACTATTCACTTATATTCTATGTAGCCCTAATATTAATACCATAAACGAGAAGAACGACGTCGTCTAGAGATATCGTTATCTCAGCGGCCATAGACCTAGAGACGTTCTTAATTCATATATTCGATCTACATTTTAGGGCCGCGAAGAGTAGCTAACTATACGTCCGGCACTCTCTAGTAAGCGCGGACGACGGTAGCGAAAGAGAAGGAAGAGATAATAGTCTTCTTTAAGACCGGCGAAGCCGGAGAAGAGAAGAGAGAAGAGGAGAAGTTACTAGAATAATTAGTACTCTAGTCTATTTCACTATTAGTAATTTCTCACTCGAATCGGGTGGGAAGGATAAGTATACCGAAACCTAAGCTAAAATCCTCCTCATCGTTATTGACGGAGGTAGAAGGGGCCGGGAGAGAGGGAGCTACTATTCTAATTAGTATTATTCCTTCATCTCTTAATATCACTAATAAAAGGTGAAAACGTTCATTAGAACGTCTAGTAAATACTAAACCTCTCTAAGATCGGAGAGGTCGGTATCGCCGCTAACCTTATAAGCACGGTTAGCTTTTCGAAACATAGGCTTAAGCCCCTATACTTAGGACTTAAGTCATTCTCTAAAATAGATGTTAGTGATTCATTATCCGAATCGGGTGAGAAATATCTATATCTGATCGGCTGGAATAGCCGAATCACTGCTAGCAACGAAAATTACTCTCTCGATGAGAGCTTAGAGGATACGATAACCTACCTGCAGGTTAACGGGGACCTAATTTATTTAGTATACTATTAACCTTAGCTAAATTCTCACTTACGGCAACGTAGTCAGCGCTAGGCCGGGAACGAGAGTAAAATCTACACGACTTAGACTAAGTCTAGTCGCAGGGTAAGGCAGAAAAAACTAACTCCGAGCTAGGAGTAGACGGAGGATCCGCAAAACCGCGGAAAGCGCTTCTTTCGTTAGTACGCTATCATTGTTCTAATATTGCAGAACTCATAATTCTTACTAATAAGGCTGGCACCACAGCCTAACTAGGACTAAGTGTTTAGCCGGACTTTCTCGTACGTAAGAGACTATATACATGTTAGTAGCGTCTCTTACCCGAGTGGGGTAGATAATACTTACACATCTTATAGTTAATCTAAACGAGAAAGAAAGAGACGAAGAAGGCCATAGTAAAGGGCTTAAGAATTAAAGCAAAGGCTAAAGTGAATTGAACCTCACTCGTATTATTGTAACAATATAAAACGGCTATCTCACCTAAATCGAATAGGAATTTAATCACTTACTATTATCAGTGAATAGCTATTTAACTACCATATCATTGTCTTCGTCATTAATAATTAAGACGACCTATCCATACGATGGATCAAGGCTATCTTCATACTCACAGCGACTCGAGGGCGAGCCGCTTTTTAGAGGGGGGGTAACTATCACGAACCCACCGTTGTCCCTAAGTACTCTACGCCCTTCACCCGAATCGGGTGAACGGTATAGAAAGAAAAGAAAAGGATAAGGCAAAGAACGGTTAAGGCACAAGGCTATCGGTTAACGCTGCCTTACCCTTTTCACGTGACAGAAAGAGAGGAAGCTATAAGAGTCTCCTCTCACCTAAATCGGCTGAGAGAGAACTCTTCCTTTTTCTCAAGCGTTGAGTCGTTGTCAATAGGGCTACGTGAATAGAACAAGGCATTCAGCTACTCCAATTCCTTTGTACCTACTGCGTTGCGTAGGTCCCTGATATTTGGTTTCTTCCTCAAGGAGAACGTGAATGTAGTAGAGATCCCGAGCGGTGTGAATATCTGATCCCCGGAGAACTTGGAGACTTTTGAAGGCCTCTCGATAGTGACCTTTCAGCATAAGCCACCTAGGCGACTCAGGATTAGTGTATACGATTGCTAGAACAACTAGCGCAGGCAGTCCGGCGATTCCAAACATAAGCCGCCAGTTCAATCCAACCAACACCACTTCGGTCTGGGACATAGTAGAATGCCATGTTGCAGGCGGTTCCAAGCATAATGCCAAAGCTATTGATGGTGAGGTAATGGTTGTTACGTGTGGAGAAAAAATCACACAACCCAGATTTGCCAACACATTGTAAGGCTTCTCTGATTTTCGCTAGTGCGCACTCAGCTGCATAGATGCTCAATGTTGCGCTTTTCGGCCCAATGCCAACTCCAAGGAAGATCCGTGCAATCATGAGATGCCACTGCGGTAAGACGTCAGCTGGATCCGCACAACGGTCGAGGGCGACAAATATACCCATGAGTTTGTGCATGCAGACGAGATATACGCCGTAAAGCAGAAGAAGGCGGTCACGAACATGACTCCTTGTCTTCACATTAGGCCATTCAGGGGAGCAGTCAGCCAAACACTGAAAATGGTGCAGCAAAGGTATGGAGCGCTGTTAACTAGTCCCAGGATCCAAGTTTGCCTCCCAGGGCCGTCGATACCGAACTGCTCTGGGAAAAAGATGTTTGCACCATTGATAGAGACCAGATCCATGCCATTCAAGGCGGCCGCAATGGTGCAAAGTATGATCAAACGATAGAGTGCGTGATGGGGATGCCATTATACGGACCTGTCAGCTGATTCCATCGTGCGAGAGCTGGAAGTTGCGACTAACTGTGCTCGGCTTCCCGTTGCAGGGTATTTCGTTGTTCTTCGGTTAGAACGTCAAGGTTGCTGGAGCATGCATAGAGAGACAGTCAAAAACTGTACCACCCAGACGGAAGGCTTTGTCATAAACTGCCTTGGTTTTGGACTAGCAGTGCTACTTTTTGCAGGACCTGGGTATAATCTTCCAGGCTATGTTGAGCCGCGAAAGCAGTGGCATCGGCCTGTGGATTATTGAGTAGCATATAAAAGCTCTTAGCAGTATGGACTCACCACAACCTGGTCAAATATGCCTGGATCCGAAGAGGGTTCACCAAATGGACTTCGCCAACGCCTTCTTCGTGCTCCAGAACGACTTCTGGATGTTTAAAAGGTATGTTATGCATCTTTTAAATAATTCAGGGCGATATCTTGCTGCCAGTTGATCGAAAATGGTGCCAAAGACCAGAAGCCCGTGCCCGTTCCTAAGGGTATCTCGACCTCTTATAGCAGAAAGGCCAGCAGTGGACTGCTGGAGAACTGTGCCCCATGGGCCCCAGGGTTCTGGACAGGGGCAAAACATAGGTGGACTGACCAATACCTTGCAGCAGATCTACAACACCGGGTCCGGGTAGGTCAACACCGGTCCGGAAAAGCTGGATTTCCGGGCCAAGGCTGCCCAGCGAGGGGGAAACTCCAAGCAATATCATTCTCTATTCATCAACTTCTCTTCGGACGTTTTGTGTCTTTCATCTTCGCCCCAAGCGAGTGATGAGTCGAACAGCTTTGAACAAAATGAACTCGAGTATTCTATGTATCAGCAGCATGGACCAGATTCGACAATCATCGAGTCCTGGCATAGAGATCACTACGGACCCAATCCCTTGGCACAGCCTAAAAGCTTGCCGGACTTGCCGGCGAGAAAAAAATGAGATGCACAGGAAGCCCGGATTCGCCATGTCCTCGTTGCACCAATGCCGGACTGCCGTGCATTTTTGAAGGCAGGAAAGCAGCGGCCACGGCCATTGCTAACGGAACTCAGAAACGAAAGCATGTTCAACTGCTCCAGACGCCTCGGTTGCCTACACTAACTTCGTCTGTCGGTCCAGGTTTGTGGAGTTAGAAGATGAAATTCTACAACTGAGAGAAGAGCTGAAGTCTGTCTCCCGGATTGCCAAAGAGAGCCGAGTTGATCTCGCGAAAATCTCTACGGACTCCAACTTCGTCTATTCGGCCCGTTGCCCAACCGACCGTTGGCTCCAGTGAAGTTTTTAAGATTTACATTTCGTCATCTTCGACGACTACACGGCCTCAGCAGCGGGAGCATCCAACAGAACCTCCTAGCTCATGCCAGTCGCGCAATGCTGAAGTGCCTACCCTGCAACCCCTGGATTCAATAGTCCTTTTCGTGTACAGAACAATGATGACACCGCACGAGAACCCGGAAGTGCTAGTAGATTTTCATCTGACAACCAACATTCTTCGATCGCAACATCACAAGCTGACTACATGCATTATCGCCACCTGAATGTTCCTGTCACCGCTGTTCAATCGATGGATCAACGTCGCCTCACACGAATGAACCTTTCTGCTCTGTCGAGGATGATGATGACGGAAGTGCTCAACTTGGGCAACGTTGGTCAGCATCTGATGGAAAATCACTACCTCCTCGATATAGCCTCGGAGATTTTCACAGATGAGACTCAAGCACGATTTCTCTTCGCGTCATAAGCAGTCTGTGCTCTTTACAGCTTGATGCCGCTGCTGATTTGACGTTAACCTAGCTATTTTGAGGGTGGCAACCCATTTATCCCAATTCTTGATCCTATAGTGGATACCTTCGACTCTACGAAACCGCTCACCTTTCTGTCTGATCGCGATATTGTTCATTGCCCTTAAGCAGAGAACTGATGTTTCACATGAGGTCTCAGCGGACCTTCTGGTAAGAGTACGAGACGCTTGTCTCCAAGAGGCCAGTCGTCGCGAGTGCGACAGCATCTTCGAGAGCCCAGGTCTGGAGAGTGTACAGGCAATGACGTTGCTTGCGGCAAACGCGGAGAAGACTCGGTTTGCAATTGGTCATGCTCATCAAATGGCCCTAGAATTGGGTCTTGATTGCGCACTGAATGAGTTGCTCAGCGGTGACACTTTGACGCCTCATAGTCGAAAAGCCCGGTTTTGCGGCCGCAAGGACCGTACATGGCTTATCTTGTATTGCATCGAACATGAGCTCGCGTTTGGCACAGCACGAAAACCGCGCATCGACGAGCTTCACCAATGTTTGCTGAGGCATTACCTGGATCTTCCTGTCTCTTATCCCTCTGACATGAGATTCATCTCTACCATTGAGATTGTACTGTAACAAGGCGACGTGGCTGTGCTGGGCTGGTGGTGGACTGGCAAGGCAGAGGTCTGTCAGGTCACATGTCAAACCTAATTAGATCGCTGGGAGCAGGACAGTTTACAGTGCTGTCAGAGGGCCAATTTTTGACAGTTTAGCAGAGGATCATGAATTCGTTTTTTTTTTGGCGCCGTCTACCTAATTCCTGAGTGTTTTATCAGTCCTATCCTGTTCCTCGATGCCCCCGCTGTGCTAGGTGTTCGTAGCCCTAGTCGCTGCCCCTCTGGGTGGTGTTTGTTGTGGTGTTGTCTTGTCAGCATCAACCAGAAACGCGGTCTCGATTCCCGATCTGCTGGACAGGCCTCTGTGCATTGTTGCACGTGCACGCCGAACCCTGAAGTGCTCTGTTACAGTATAACTCCGGAGTAAGCTACGGCATGCAATGTCTGACGAACGGTCTAATGTAGCTACCAGGTCATATTCAATCCCATATCGAAAAAGCCATATCAATATCCGCCATTTCTGGAACTCTCGTCCAAGAGTTTGAAGAGAAGGCACAAGAATGGTACCATTACTGGGAAATGCATTTCGAAGGTACTTTCACTCCCTACCGCAGCAGGTAACTAGCAAATGATTACACTCGACTCATGGCATGGCGATCTTGGAAGCTGGATAAAGCGCGCTGACTTGGCATAGCATATAATATAGATGGACACTCTCTTAATCGAGTGAGCTTACGGACTCAGAAGAATTATGCTATGATCACAATCTGCTGCTCCATTCTTGGTCGACTCCACAAGAACAGCAGTTCACCAATTTTGCCGACTATGAATGAAGTTATTCCTCGTACGACGGAAGTCATATCTGACCAGCTCCATCTTATCATCCATTCGAGTTCTTACAGTGGCACTTTCGATGGGCGCCAACGTATTCGGCCCTGATGCTCACATTTTTACGTCGGTGTACCGTCCCTGAAGACGTCCTTCGTTCGTCTGCTGTGAAGCTGCTAATGGCCCAGCAGTAATTTTGGCTCTTCAACGCGCACACAAGTGGCCGGATTATCTGGACAGAGCTCGAACAGCGACGCAGGTTAGATCAGTCCTTGGGTTGTTAGAAAGCCATCCTTATCAAGGTCTCGTGCTTCAGGTCCGGCGAATGCTTAAACGGTCAGCCGATGAGCCTATCGAGTGTCCGGAACAGATTGCACCGATGCAAATGAGAAGGCCGCACGACCTCCATCCACCCGATCAACAGGCCCCAAATCTGTGTAGTCTGGACAATGGTAGCCTCCATCATGACGTGTACATGGATCCTTCAGACCCTGGACCTAGCAGCCTGGACCGGCTTTCGGGCGGCACAATTCTTGAAAACTGGACCACGCTCGAGTTAGGGAATTCAATGGTGTATGATATTTCCATGTTCAGTGGGTCTGGAGCAGTATAAAGACAGGGGGCTTAGGGGTTTCCAGACCACATACTTGGGTAGCATTCTTTTAATCTTGTCTGTATGAATTTGACATAGCTCTGATATATCAAGATATGAAATGTCGAATGGTTCAAGTTCGACACTATTCTATATCGCTCACTTTTAATGATCTACGTCAGTTCGCTCCTGTGGTGGCCGTTTTGCCCAGCGCCTGTCTGCGAGATGATCGTGAGTCAGAGCAAGTTTTTCAGCTCCTCGCCGTCGTTGAGAAATATGCGCAGACTCTCATTGATCTTTTCCGTCGCCATTACGTCCATGAAGAGGTCGATACTGAATTTCGCTTCATCTAGTAGATATTCAGGAGACGCTTTGTGAGCTCCGGTCTCACCTGAACAAAGTCAGTTGAAGACTCACGACAGCCGTTTAGAGATGGTGGGCTCGCAGGTTTACCATTAGCGACAAGCAAACGGGCTTTGACTTCATAGTCTGCATTCTTCAACTCTTTGAGTAACCTGACGTTAAGGGTCATGAGATCAACACTCGCGAGATCGACGCACACGTCAATATTCCTGAGACTGGCTGCCATGATCTGCGTCTTGATGTCCAAACTCTTGTAATGATGGAATATATTGGTCACCAGTTGGACGCCCGGATCTTTCAACTCGTGTAGTCCGTCCCGGGAAAATACTTTTGCCACCAGTCCATGGTCCGGCCAACAAAAGGTGATATGACCGACACTCCCACTTCCGCCGCGAGTTTTGCTAGGACCGTTGAAAACATGACAGACATGTTACAATGTATGCCCTCCTGCTCAAGCACCTGGCAGGCCTGCAGTGGGCGCGATCTTGATCAGCACCCGGTCGCGGCAGACTCCAAATTTCTCATACAGTCCAACCACGTCCCTCGGCATGGCAATCGTTCTGTCGCGGTCGAAAGAATACGTTGAATCCACCTCAGTAGACGCACGGCCAGCTGTACGCTTGAGAATCTCAACGCCGAAGGACTCCATCAGGTGTAGTTTTGCATATTGAACCCGAGTTTCGAGGTCTTGCGATTGCGAGATCCCGTACGATGCAGCTGCAGATATTGTATGTGTGTACTTTTGTAGTTTTACCGCGTTCAAGATATGTGAAGGATTGTCCCGGGGGCGGTAATGGCCAAGTTTTTCGAAGTCGGCGGTGTCGGATACGATTGTAGTGAACTGACGCAATTGTTCGAGTGTAGACATTATGAGACAGCAGATGGAATTATGTAACGGTCCGTAGAGAACTGAGTGGCATCAAAACAAATTCATCTCTGGCTACCTCCACAAACGAGAATCGAACGAGAGATGAATACGGCAGGTCCCTCTTTTAGATACCATCAATGTTCACTCGGGAATATGATCAACGGGTGTCGAGTTGAGCCGGATCCGATCAAGTTATTATGAACATAATTCTAGAACTGTGAGAAGGCTATCCCATGCCGTGTGCTGTGTTGCCGGCTCCGGTCGACACGACCTGTCTGGCTGCGCGGAACGCTGGCTTCTCCGAAAGGACCGGGTCCATTGCACACTTCCTCTGTTAAGTGGCTCTTTTCCAAGCAGCAAAGCTTCAATCTAGAACAATATCCGCGTCTTGTAAAACATTGGCATGAGTTACATGGTACCGGTATCATGGAGAGAAAAGGGCAGGCGCCATGGCTACGAATAGGGAAACTTTCTGCGTTGGAGAGGCCAACAGGGCCATAGCCTGATTCAGCCTTGTTCAGTCATGTTCAGCCTTGTCCAACCACGTGTCCACGACAAGTTCGGGTCAAGTGGAGCCTCGGCAGCTCAACAGCATGGTGGAAATACGTCATTCGATTCGCTAGGCCACCAAGGCTGTCACTAGGCGGCGGTGGCGGCGGTTGTGGTGAGGAGGTCTTGGAGGCCGCACTTCAACGTGTTCCTGGCTTCCTGCACCGCGACTTCATTAGGTCTAACTGCCCTTTTCTTGTGCGCAGTGCAATTGCTCGTCTTGCAGCAGATTGATCTTTCCGCTGCATTTACCTCATGGCTCCCACTTGATTGTGCCGCCCCCCAGCAGCGTCTCTTCGATGCGGTGGCTAGCAAATGGGTCTAATAAAATGGTTCCTCTTCGTCTATGTGCTCGGTGGTCTCACCTTCGTACCGCTTCTGATCGCCCTCGTATTCCTCTATGCCTACTACACACTCCCTCCACCCGAAAATGAGAAGGAAAAGACGAGGTCTAACGACGATCCGGCACAGTTGATCCGCTCGGAAGATGACAAGATTGCATTCAAGACTGGTACCGACGATCTCGCCGAGCAGTTCCATCGAAAGCATGACTCTGATGTTGCCGCTGGCTACTTCGCGGTGTGCAGAGAATATGTGCCTGGTGGTGTCCCTGGCAAGCCGCCAGAGAAGCCGACACCTACGGGCGACGTCGCGGTGCAGGAGTCTCCCAGCGTCTACCAGAGTATGTACCGCAGCATATTCGACCGGTCGCAGAAACCAACAATAGAACCCAACAAAGATGGTGCAGGGAAGAATGTTAGGAAAACAAATAATGTCTTCTATGTGGTTCTGAGGTGCGTTGCGATATACATCTGCTATTCGGGTATGAAGCCTGACTGATCGAGCTAGGCACGGACATCTCATGCTTTACGATGACATACAGCAATTGGAAGTCCGCTATGTCATCTCCCTTGACCACCACGATGTCGATATCTATGCTGGTGGAGAAGAAATACCAGAAGGAGAACTATGGATCAAGCGCAACGCAATTCGACTGAGGCGGAAAAAAAGCCAATCAGGAGACAAGGCAACGTCGTTACCATTCTTTCTCTTTGGGCAGAGCCAGTCGGATAAAGAGGACTTTTACGATGCTATACTGAAGAACCAAGAGAAAAGCAACAACGAAGAGCCGCCGGGGCCGCAACTGTTTGACGTTGAACACATTGTATTGCTGGTACAAAAATTACACTCGTCGGAGGAGCACCTGCAGACAAGATGGCTTAATGCCATGATCGGCCGCGTGTTTCTGGCCATGTACAAGACCCCAGATCTGGAAGGCTTTATCCGAGAAAAGCTCACCAAGAAGATTTCAAGGGTTAGAAAGCCCACATTCATTACCAAGCTGGGCCTGCGAAAAATTGACTTGGGGACTGGTGCTCCATTCTTCACAAATCCGAGATTAAAGGATTTGACTGTGAATGGTGATTGCACGGTTGAAGCAGATGTAGATTACACTGGAGGGGTTAGGATTGAAATTGCAGCCACTGCACGAATTGATTTGGGTACGCGCTTCAAGGCCCGAGAAGTTGACATGGTACTGGCAGTTACATGCAAACTACTTCAGGGTCACGTCTTGGTCAGATGCAAACCTCCCCCCAGCAACCGTTTATGGTTCACTTTTGAGAAAATGCCTCAACTGGAACTCGACATTGAACCCATTGTCAGTACTCGGCAAATCACATACACTTTCATACTCCGGGCAATCGAAAGCAGAATCCGAGAAGTTGTGGCGGAGAGCATTGTACATCCCTTCTGGGACGACGTGCCTTTCTTCGACACGAAACATCAGAAATATCGCGGTGGCATCTGGAAGACAGAGCCCTTGTCTACGACCACTACAGAGATTCCTGATGAGGAACCTGAAGATGTTGTTGAAGGGGGAAGCTCGGGGGTGGACACACCGGTGGAGCTATCCAAGGATGAGAGAGTCATGAGTATGCCAGTCTTGATTGAGACTAATGGCATGGGCAAGCTCAATTCTGCGAAGAAATCTATGGCTTCTTTGAATGACCTTTTCGGCAAGAGGAAGTCGGAGACAGTGGACAAGACCGACTCGTCGACACCCAGATTGATGCGATCGACTTCGTTCGCCAGTGCCGCAGATCCCACCATTACTACGAATCATGCTGACGCCAACACACCTACTCGAGGCGCGGATCCTGCTACACATAGAGAGAGCGTTGCCACGATACTCAAAGATCTATCGGCCAGGTCGGTCTCGGGAAACGGGTCGGAACTCGGCTCCCCAGCTGGGTCCCCTTCCGTGGAGTCGGCCCTTGCAGCAGCTTTGAAGGGGCGGTCATCAAGCAACGCCTCAGGGGTGTCAGACGAGGGTGAACAAGATGACCAATCCGGTCGGAGATCTTCTTCTTTGCCACGAACCCTAACAAATGCCAGCCGCGCTTCCATTCAATCTACCGACTCTGGTGATCAAAAGGATGGGAGGCCAACCTCTGCGCAAGACGCGAAAAAGCCTCTGAAAGGCTTCTCGCTCGGCGCGAGGTCGTTGACCAGTGCAGATAGAAAACAGGCACTGGCATCAGTCAATGCAGCCGCCGCGGCCGCACAAAAATGGGGTTGGGGGGTGCTCGCAAGAAATCGACAGCGCGAAGCTCAAGCGACAACAACACCGAGGAGTTTGGATGAGGCTTCAGGGAGTCCTCCCACTCCTCGAGAGCCGATGGGTCGTGGAAGACCGCTTCCACCTCCGGGCGTTCCTCTGCCTCCCCCCGAGAGAAGCAGGCCGAATTCATTCCTAGCGCCGAAACGGAAACCCGTCCCACCCCCACTGCTACCAAAGCGCCCAGAGATGGATGGCTCCCACGAGTCGATGTCGGCTAAATCATCACCTAAACCACCCCTTCCGGAAAGACGCAAAAGACAGGGCTCTGCGCAGGCCGAGGATGATGTCGAAGATGAAGTATTAGTGGTCGAGGCCCCAATGGAATCGGCACCAACGAGCCCAGCTAATGATGAACATCACGATGAATTTTTTGGTCACGGCGAACCCACAGTGATGAAGGAGCAACTGAAAGCTCCACCACTCCCGGACCGTGGCAACGAGGTAGACGAGCCAACTGCAACATCATCGAAGGAGCAACTCCATCCGCCGTCACATGACGATGGGAGTGAAGGCGGCAAGCCAGAAATGGTGCAGGAACGGCTACGTCCGCCGTTGCCTGCTCGTGGCAGTGAGACTCCCGAAAATCTTCCTCAGGATGAAGGAGAAATGCATAGGCAAGAGATTGGCATGTACACATAATGAAGGGAATTGGCTCAGCCAAAAAGGCCATCTAGATATAAGCGAAGTTCAGGATGAAGCCATTGGGCATAGAATATGATACCCGATTATAAGCCGGAACTTGGCGTCGCTTTAACTACCCCGTGTCTGCGAGATTCTGGGTGTTTGAACATGAAGACAACCCCTGCCACGGGCCTGACGCAATAGGCAGCTCTGCCGAACATCAACTACGCAAGGCTGCACTTCTTGACGCGGCTCAATCAATGATCATACTTGACACCCATATTTCCCATCTGATTCCTGTGCTCGCATCCGTCTTCCCACTTCTTCGCACTTCTCTGCAAGTTATCTGCGGCAATGAATCACTATCCTCAGGCCTGGGGTCGAGTGAGTCCTGTACCTTCGCACCAAAAAGCAACGAAGCTAACGTTGGAGCAGCCCCGAGATGATGTGTACGGCGCATACGATTCTTCATACCTTCAGACGTCGATGCCGCAGACACATACGCAGTCTCCCGCAGTTACAGGGACGTCCGTACTAGGGGTCAAGTTCAAGGACGGTGTTGTAGTGGCAGCAGACAATCTAGGTATGTTTTTGGGACAGGTGCTGCACTTGCCTTCGACCATGCTAACACATTCTTGTCAGCATCCTATGGCTCCCTGGCGCGATTCACGGACGTCAAGCGTCTGCGGACATTCCCTCCCAATACTGTGGTTGGCTTCGGTGGCGACGTTTCAGATATGCAATATCTTGACCGGCTTCTGCAGTCGCTGGACATTCGAGAAAACTACCTCTCTTCATCTGGCCACACGCTGAACGCACGGAATCTCCATATCTATCTCTCCAAGGTCATGTATAAGAGGAGAAGCGAGTTTAACCCGTTATGGAACATGATGCTCGTCGCTGGCCTGGATGAGGAAGAGAAGCCATTCTTGGCCAGTGCGGATCTGCTGGGGACGACCTTCTCTGCTCCAACACTGGCAACAGGGTTCGGCGCACATCTGGCACAACCTCTACTGCGAAAACTCATGCCCCATGAGGAAGAGAGTGTCAAAGACGTGACCAAGGAGATGGCCATCAATGCCATCAAGGAATGCATGAAGGTATTGTTCTACCGAGATGCTAGGAGCATGGACAAGTACAGCATTGCGGTGGTGACCAAAGATGGCGTCGAGATCAAGGAAGACGAGAAGCTGGAGAATCAAAGTTGGGCATTCGCCGATCAGATTCGAGGATACGGAACGCAAGTCAACTAGGGTGGATGCATATGGGCATGACTGGTGCACGGCGTTCAGTTTGGGACAGAGCACTCCATCACAGGGCGGTTACCGACGGCAGGCCTTGAAAAATCCACAAACAAACAAATCCCTCTTTCGAGCACGGACATGAGAGTCATAACGGACTCGCTAGCTCCTTGAATAGACCATGGAAGCGTCATCCTCGCCAGAGGGAGCCATGGCGAGTTCCCGACATGGCCTGGACCGTTCGAGAAGTTGCTGGTGATTGGTCAGCCTTGGTAGAGCCTCGTGATTTCTTGGCGTCGGTGAGTCAAAGGCGGAGCTGCGGTGCCGGTGACGTGCCGCCGCCAGAAATTTGGAGAAAGGCTGAACTTTCTCCAGAAAAGTAGAAGAGCCGCCACCAATTGCCAACCATACTTGTACAACATCAATTAATTATTCTCTGTCGTTAGTCTTTCCCTGTGCACTGAGCCTTTTTGCTTCTCCCGCTCCCTTTGGGAATACTACGAGAGGCTTGTATTAGCCATCTTGTCACGTTTAATTGCCACCACTCGAGTCTGCCTTGCAGGGCATCGATCACGCTCAATCCGTTGTCTATGGAAGGCCCAGCCGTGCAGCAGGCACCAGCACCGGCACCGAATCGTAACAACAGTAACAGAGGGCAAAGACGGAGACGGAGAGGCGGTCCCAGCGGGCTGACGGCCTCTCAACCAGAAACTACCGTTCCTATCAGGCAGACCGCAGCGAGACCCTTTGGTGGGCGCCTCACACAACTACACGCAGAAGCACCGCCTTTCGTCCCATCCTCACTTCCACCGGCTCCCCAAGCAAGCTCAGAGCCCAGAGACTCCAGGCCTCGTCCTCCTCGCCCCCGCAACAAGAACATATCCACTCGAACGCCAGAGCAGCGCAGAGGCTCGATTACCAGATCAACAGCCCCGGACATCGCCACTCGAATTCACGAGGACATCTCTCGCAATCTCTACGAGTGCGCAATATGCACAAACGAAATCGGCCGATCCTCGAAAATCTGGTCATGTCGGACGTGTTGGACAGTATTCCATATTGGCTGCATTAAGAGATGGTCCAAAAATGAGGGCTCAGCTGTTCCTCGTTCTGCAGGCCAAAGTGATGAAGAGACGCAGGCAGGAAAGCAGTGGAGATGTCCCGGTTGCAACCTACCCAAGGACACTTCTCCATCTGCATACACTTGCTGGTGCGAGAAGGAAATCGATCCAAAGAACGTTACGGGTCTACCTCCTCATTCTTGCGGTCAGACTTGTGGCCGGGAGAGGAAATTCCCAAAACCATGTCCACATCCTTGCGATGTTGTCTGTCACGCAGGCCCATGCCCGCCATGTCGAGCAATGGGCCCCAGGCAGACTTGTTACTGTGGCGAGCAGGAAACAACGAGACAATGTGTCGAAACAAATTATGAGACGGGCTGGAGCTGCGGCGCCGTGTGCGGCGACATAATGCCGTGCGGCGAACACACATGTCAACGGCCTTGTCATGAAGGTCTCTGTGGCGCTTGTACGACTGAGTTGGATGCCTGGTGCTACTGTGGAAAGGTGGAAAAGAAGATCCTATGCAAAGATCGAGGCGAGGAAAAACCAAGCAGTGACTGGATTGGCCTCTTCGATTGCGGTCAACAATGCAACAGGCTTATGGACTGCGGAACCCACCGGTGTGAAAGATCATGTCATCCGCAAGATACAGCGACACCACATTGCCCGTGGTCCGTCGACGTTGTGACACACTGCCCCTGTGGGAAGACTCCTCTGGCTAAGCTCGAGAATGGGCTTCGAAAACTCTGTACTGATCCGATCCCGAGCTGCAAAAAGGAATGTGGACGATCACTACGGTGTGGCCACAAATGCAAGCAGCTTTGTCACACTGGAATTTGCAGTCCTTGCATGCTCAGAGTCTCCAAGCCATGTCGATGTGGCCGTAATTCGTTTGACGTTATCTGCCACGAAGCGACCGAGGAACCATCCCAGTGCACGCGTTTGTGCAAGGCTACCTTGAATTGTGGACGTCACGAGTGCGGTGAACGCTGTTGCACGGGGGAGCGCAAGGCATCTGAACGTCTAGCCACCAAGAGAAAACTCAAAGTGGCTACCCTTGGAGAGCTGCGGGCCTTCGACCAGGATATCGAGGCAGAGCACATCTGCACTCGCCCATGTGGTCGCAAATTGAAGTGTGGAAACCACGTCTGCCAAGATCTCTGCCATCGCGGACCCTGCGCCAGCTGCAAAGAAGCCATATTTGACGACATCTCATGCGGCTGTGGTAGGACTGTCCTGCAGGCGCCTTTGCCGTGTGGCACCCGACCGCCGCCGTGCAATTTCCCGTGCACCAGGACGAAAGATTGTGGCCACCCTCTAGTGGCACACAGTTGTCATTTAGACGAGGAGGAATGCCCCAAGTGTCCATTTCTCACCGAGAAGCAATGTCTCTGCGGCAAAAAGACATTGAAAAATCAGCCGTGCTGGAGGGCTGATGTGTTGTGCGGATTGGTCTGTGGGAAGCCGCTCAAATGTGGCTCTCATACCTGCCGGAAGACATGTCATAAGCCGGGTGAATGTGAAGATGCGCATCGACAATGCCAGCAAGAGTGCGGCAAGGCGAAGAAGACCTGCGGGCATCCCTGTGAGCAGCCTTGCCATGCTCCTTCGGCATGCAAGGAAGATAAACCATGTCCATTCAAGGTGATGATTACATGCGACTGCCAGCGCAAACAGGAAGAGGTCAGGTGCAATGTGCGGGCGCATGTGCCTGAGCCTCCGGGTCGGCAAACTTCACTCAAGTGTGATGATGAATGTGCCAGGCTGGAGAGAAATCGCAAACTGGCACTGGCGCTTCATATTCCTGACGATCACACTGACGAGCATGTCCCTTACTCCACCGACACCCTGAATATGTATCTGGAAGATGTTGCATGGGCCCACAAGCAGGAAGAAATCTTACGGCTCTTTGCAGCGGACGAAAACGAGAAGAGATATCGGTTTCCGCCCATGAGAAATTGGCAGCGAGCCTTTATCCACAGCCTGGCCGAAGACTTTGGGTTCGACGGCAAAAGTCTGGATCCTGAGCCACATCGACATGTTGTGTTGTTCAAGACGCCAAAATTTGTGTCCGCCCCCATGAAGACTCTGGCTCAAGCTGCAAGAATCAAGCGAGCACAATTACATGCGGTTGCCCCGATCCAATCAACACCGGAGCGAAAAGCAGACGAGGTCAAGCATGACTATAACGGACTGTTGTTGACCAAACCCAGATTTGCACTGACGGAAGACGAACTGCGGCCTCTGGTCAAGAAGTCAGCGCCGACTACTGAGTTTGACATTATCTTTTTATCCAACGATGAAGGCGTCGCTCTGTTGCCCACCCTCTCGTCGGACACTCCTGAGCAGTTGGTCACTCTTCTTACCAGTCTGCACCCGGCAATTGCTGGGGAGGTGACCAAACATAACCTCGGGGCATCGGTTGTCCTGTGTCAATTCGACACCTCGGATCTGGAGCCCAAGATCCTTCAACAACAAGGCAGACCGATTGCAGCACTATCAAAAGGATGGTCTCAGGTTGTGGCCAAGAAAGCCGCACCTGCTGTAGCACCCCAGGTCATGCCGGTCGGCCAACGACCGGTGTATACAGTGCTGGGAAGTCGGCTGGCAGAAGCGAAGAAAAGGAAGCAGGAGAGGGAGGAGAAGCTGCAAAAGAAAGCCCAACAGCAGCAAGTGGTGGAGGATTGGGAAAAGGAGATGGAGCAAGAAGAAAGTGAGGAGGCTGAGAGGAGGGCTAGTCAGGACCATGGCGAGGCCAGGGACGGGGCATGAGTGACTGTCCCTTGCAGCGGTTTCAGCTGGGACAGTACCGACGAGCCCAGTACGGGACTACTGGGTGCGCAAGTTGGCACTAATGATGGGCGTGGCTGTGCAGTTAACTCATTGACTCCAGCTGAAACGATTCCGCATCAGTTAATCCGATCCGGCTTGGGCGACGTCATTGGCTGCGATGGTGCTTGTGCCCCCCAGCAGCCCCTCGCTCTGGGTGTGCGCTCAGGTGCGCTCTGTTCTTGCCATACAGTAGTTGTGCCTCGTCCCGTCGCTACCCACGCCTTCGTCCAACCTTGAACCACGACATCCTGGCCTGTACATGCTCGTATCAAGATTCCCGTCCATCCCCAGAGCTCTCTTACCTGCAAACCAAGCCGCTTGGCATTCTGGATCACTCTGACTTTGCTCTCGTCGAGCCCGCTGGTGACGCCTCTGACCCACCAAGAAGCCATAACACCCTTCTGTTGGTGGTGACTTATATTTTGCTCTTTTCTCTCTGCTTTGTCTTTCTCTTCTTCCTCTCACTGTTAACCTTGGCCAAGCGTCTCCAGTGCAGACCCTCGTAAAACATTTATCCTCGGACCGACTTGACTTCGCTTCCCCCTCTCGCAGTCATGGATCAACTCAAAGGTGCCCTCAACAGCTTCACTGGCGGCGACAATGAGCAACAACAGAAGCAGAGCGGCGGCCAGCAGGGCGCTTCCGGTAGCGGTAGTGGCGGCTTCCTCGGGGGATTGGGCGGTAAGATCAATGCCGCTGCCGGTGGAGGACGGGAGAGTGAGAAGAAAGAGGATTATCTTGACAAGGGTGAGACTTCCATGGTCGACTAAGAACCCCGGGGCTCCCTCTTCAGCGGGTCGTGATGTGTTAACAAGGCCATTCAATGCCAGGAGTCGACTTCGTCCAAGAGAAGTTCCTCGGTCAAGGCCCTCAAGACAACGAGTCCGCGGTTGAACAAGCCAAAGACGAGCAGATCAGCGACTTCATTCGGAACCAGTGTTAGTGCCCACAACCCATCATCGTCCCCACCGGGAATGACTGCGAGCTGACAGGGAGCGTCCATCACAGACAAGTCTGCCACTGGCAAGGACTTCCCCGTCAAGGACAAAGAGACAAAGTTTTGAAGAATCTGTGCAGCGATCATGATTGGGTGACAGTAGAGCTGGAGAAGTGAGGGCGTCAGACCAGTCGTGCAGATGACAGACTCGGACAGAAGAATACTGCGCTTGCCAGAAGGGAAGGGAGTCAGGCGCCAGCTTTTCGAGATGTGGTTCGAGGAGGGCTCTCCACAGAGTATTCGCATTACGCGCATTACGCGCATTACGCGCATTATGCCAATCAGCATGCCATGCCTAACGGAGCGACTATTCCTAGCCATAACACAAGAAGCCAGCAGTTCTTTCCTTGTTGCCCCTGCTCCGCATATTGTCAATATCTGTGCAGCGATACACGCCGCCTGTCGCTTTCTGAGTTGAAACCTGCCAAGTAAGATCTTTCACCTGTAGCGTGAGAGAGAGAGAGAGAGAGAGATCAGCGGAAGAGTGTTGTGCACACAATGTCATAGATCTCTCGCCCCAGAACCCTACGGCATCCCCAGACGACTTGACCTTGCCAGGACACCTGATACCTGTCGATTCCCTGACATCACGTGTGCGTTAAATTCCCTGTTCGTACACCGGGTAGATAGAGCACGCAGACGTACCGTAGGCCTTCGAGTCTATCTGTCAGTGTATATACTGATCACACTAGAGACTAGCCCCATTGCATCCGTCGATCCTGATCCTTGTGGACCATGTCCCATCTCCTCGGACAAGCTGGCCCTATAAAAGTCGGCGAGGTGGGAGGCGAGATGGTGACAGTCCAGACCTGGTTGATCCAATCTCTTTCCCTCCTGACTGTTAGACCCAAATCGGTAATCGAAGCACATAGTCCCCAGTGCGTAATGCCCACGGAGGGCACAGTAGGACTCGATTGGATCGAGTGCCACCTCTTTGCGCGACCCGATCGGAAGGCGTCATATATTTCCATGCATCCCTGCCGTGCAGAGAGAGTTCTTTGAATCGTTACGGGTAAAACGTCCTTTCTCATTTAGCTCGCTGGTTGCAACCACCGAAGACCCGTGCAGAGCTCCCCGCGCTTGACTAATGAGCAGGCATACCGGATTAAAGTCAAGGTCGAAATCAAAGTATCCTAGTCCTATTGTGCTCGTGTTTGTCGACGCTGTCAGGTCCAGGGAAAACCTCCCTGGTCACTTTCTGGTAACTCCACTTTGCCGACAACTTGAAGGTTGACCGTCCGAATGGCATTGTTGTGGGTCGATTTGGGCGAGGCCGAGGCATTCAAAGTCGCCGCGACCGTCCGAGTCTACGGCGAAGAGAGGATTTGTCTTGAGCAAGAAGCGAAAGCCATAAAGGTACTCTGGAGCCGCGTCCTATGGGCGGTTGCCGACGCGCCTCTTAGTAGAAATCAAAACTCGACGCCGCTGACACTCTGGATAGAGATACCCATCTCTGATTGATCGGTAGATGCCCCTACCGCGGAAAGTGACGCAGAGGAATTGATCATCTCTACCAAATGGCCGGAGGTACGACTCCGATTAAGCTATTGCGTCCGGGAAAAGCACCTGGTGTCTGAAAACTGCCCCAGATCGCAAGATCGTCCGCCACGTAGCCTTGATTGAAACAGTACGCTCTCTCCCCTTCCCTCGGTTGGGCGCCTATTTCCTTGGCATCCATAAGGGATGCATGTCTTAACTAGAACTTCGTTCAACTCAGCTAAACAGACCGCCTATAGGGACCATGCCTAGGGGCTAGGACGCCTATCCTAGTCAGAAAACACCCCCCAGCACGTAGCCCGCTGCGCTCTGTCAGGCTCCATTACTATAATGAGAATACTAGTACTATCTAGACACGGCTTAGATTTCTCTTCGGAGCTTCCTCCAAAGCGCGATTTTTGGTGTATTTAGAGCTGTTTTATTTCAATTTTTAGTGAATCTACCACATAAGTTAATGGAAGGGAGGTACGTGACTGTGCCAATACAACGAGGTTGAGGCACGTTCTACAATCAGGTCCTCGCCAGCTACCAAGAAATCAGGCTAAGGAGGTCGTACAACTGAACTCTTGCGAAGCTTTCGAATCGCCGCGAACTAGGAGCCTGAGAGCCGAGTTATAACCCCCTCGGCGACCCCTTTCTCGAGTTCATCCCCAACTCAAAATAGCTTGGTCGTCGCTCAGGTCAGGTGGCGAGATGGTAGGGTCTGGAAACGGAAATGAGACTTCAATGTTGAAGCAATCTAGGTAGGGGTTGGGCGAATAGGTTGATTGACTGATTGAGATAGCCGAGAGCAAGACAGCAAGCCAGCGAGACAGGTTGCCGCATGCCAAGATTGAAGTGGCATAGGCCTAATTAGGCTAGTTGAAGGTAGTATCACCTTGCCAATATTTGGAGAGGTTGAGAGGCCTCTAGAGGTCAAGAGGGGAGACGAACCTCGGCTCCAAAGCTATATACCTATATTGCGGACGACGGAGAAAAGAGCAAAACTGCGCCCAGACATATACATATGCACACATACACATATACATGCAGCTATAAACTATACAAGCATACGTAAAATACACCGTCGCCTCGACATCCGGCATCCGAGTCAAGGAGGAGAGGAAACAGCCACGAACCTCCAAGCGGTGCACGCAGACGAGGGCGTAGCACAGGGTGGCGTCAAAGAAAGACAACCAAACAAGCAAAATACTCTAGACGATCGGTCACGATGGCTCGAGGAGGAGGGAAAATCACCCTCTATGTCGACATCGTCAGCCCTTTTGCGTACTTGGGCTATTACTACCTGCGCGTGAGTTTGCGTTCCAACTTCCCTCTTGCTCTGCATCGCCGGGTTTGAAACATACATATATGTGGTGTCTCCCCCCATCTGCAAGATGGCAGGCGAGAGACAGACATCTCAATCTCAGTCCCAACTTCAAGTCCAAGTCCAAACTTAATACTAACCCTCGCTCCCCTCTTTTTGCAAATAAAACAGCACTCGCCCATCTTTCGAGATGTGAAGATCACATACGTCCCGATCCTGCTGGGTGGGCTGATGAAGCTGTGCGGCAACACCTCCCCAATCGACATCCGCAACAAGGACCGCTGGATCGGGGCCGAGCGCCTGCGCTGGGCCCGCCAGTTCCACGTCCCCATGTCCGAGGGCTTTCCCAGAGGCTTTCCCAAGCCGACGATCCAGGTGCAGCGGTTTTTGACGAGCGTGTGGATGGCCGATAGCGACGAGAAGGCCAAAGTTGAGCGCGGAGGACAACCGGGGGCCCAGGAGCAGGCGACGCTGACCCAAGCACTCGACGCGCTCTACGCGGCGCTGTGGACGGAGCCGAATGAGTCTGAGATCGCGGACCCGGCGGTCTTCGCGCGCGTGCTGGCCCCCGTGCTGGGCGAGGACGTTGTGAGAATGCACGTGGCCCGTCTCGGCAACGCAGAGGTTAAGAAGCAGTTGGTGGCGAATACGGACCGGGCTATGGAGGACGGCGCGTTCGGCTTGCCCTGGTTCCAGTGCGAGAATGCCCAGGGTCAAGTCGAGGGTTTCTGGGGCTTCGACCATCTCGGCCAGGTCGTTAGGTTCATGGGTCTGGATGGTCGTGGGGAGGTGAGGGCTTTGTTGTGATTTTAAGGTGTCTTGGTGCGTGGATGGATGGATGGGTGGATGGGGTGATTGAGGGCGATTTTGAGAGGGGGCAGGGACGGATGGGACGGTGGAATATAGAGAAAGAGTCTCTCTCTGTGTATGTGTATGTGTATGTGCTCGCAACCTGCTTGAGGGAGGAGATATATGAGATTGCTCCACGCTGTGAGAATGACTGGTTGAAGATCTGCTCCGTGCATTGGCAGAGCGATCGAAATGGAAGTTGGACACCAGTTTTTGTCTTCCCCCTATAGCCATTGCTTCTAAAGCCCCCAAGAAATCTAGCCCAGGTGGTCCCCTGTCCAGTTCCTACCA